CTCTTATGAAAATGAACCTGCTGCTGAGATAACAGGAAGCCATCCAGGGGGCAGGGCCAATGATGACTTAATTGCCTCTTTAAGGTCCCACCTCTCAATGCTGTTGCAGTGGGGAATAAGTTCCCAATCCATGAACTTCAGGGCACACATTTAAATCCCAGGAGCATTTTAACTGGATGTGTTTTAGTTTTCTAGCACTGCTGGAGCAAAGTGGCACAAACTGGGTAGCTTAAAAGAACAGAAACGTGATCTTTCACAGTTCTAGAGGTCAGAAGTCCAGACTAAGGGGTCATCAGGGACGTGCGCCTCGAATACTCCAGAGGAGAATCTGTCCCATGCCTCCTCTTAGCTGCCAGCATTGCTGACTTGCAGCTGCCTAACTCTAGTCTCCATCTTTAGGTGGCATTTTTCCTGTGTCTGGCTTCGCAAGGCCCTCTTTTTTTTTGAGAGTTTTTTTTGTTTGTTATGGGGTGCATGTGCTTGCCAGACAGACAGAGAGAGACAGAGAGACAGAAAGCAGGAAATCACCCCCCAGGGGGGGTGGCCACGCTGCAATCCCTTCTCCTCCATTCTCCTCTTGGGATCTTGGGCACGCATGCACACGCGCCCGGCGCGAGTTTAAGCCACCGGGTCCGGGACTCAAACCGCGGTCGACTACGTGGGAGTCCAGCGACATAGCCATTACGCTAACTGCTGGTCCCAACAAGGCCCTCTTTTTATGAGTCATAAATTATATTGGGTTAAGGGCCCACCCTGCCCTAGTATGATCATATTTTAATTTATCTAGCTCCATTTGGAATGACTCTACTTCCAAATGAGATCACGTTCATAGGTCCTGGGGGTTAGGACTTCAACATATTTTGAGAGGACAAAATTTACCCAGTAACAGATGTAGTAATAGCTTTAAATCTAATCTACACTGAACAAAAAAAAAGGGGGGGGAACAACTGACTCTTAGGTGGGTGGATATCCATGACCACCCGTAAAGAAAAGGCGTGAGAGTGGCCCAATCACTAAGGGCAATTGTTTTGTTTGTTTTTTGTTGTTATTGCCAGAGGACACATTCACTTGCCAGAGACAGAGAGAGAGAGAACACACCCAGGGCTGGAGACCAAACACGTATGTGAGATCTGACTGCCTTAACCACTAAGCTACAGGGCTGACCCAGGAAGAACAAGTTAAAAGAAAGGAGGTATCCCCTTCCCACAACTTTGCAAACACAAACACCTGACTCCCCTGTCTGCCTGTGGTCCTTTAGGGGCATTTTATCCAGAGACCGGACTAGACCAGGGGCCTCAAGGAGTGTTTCCAACCTCCCTATTCTGCAAATCTCCTTGGGTTAAATATGTTGCACTGGTTATCGGCTCCCTCTAAGAGCCTCACCTCTGCCACAACTCTGGCCCCTAGAAAAAAAATCCAAAATCTAAAAGCAACCTTATGATGACCAGGTTGGCCTTTAACAGAATAGCAATTTGAAGAGAAGAAACAAATGATACAGAGTTTGGTCAGGAATGGAGGGGAGGTAGAGACAGGGTGACGTGTTGTTGGTGACACAAGTTCATCTTATTAAGGAATAATTAACGGTTTGCCTGGCAATTAATCACCAAAGCCTTCTACCTGGAGCTAGAAGAAGTAGGAAATGCCAAAATAAAGACTCATTGCGAAGAGCTGAGGTAGCAGCTTCAGGAGAGGTTTCTAACTGAGGCTGCCCATTAGAGTCGCCTGCAGGGACTTAAAATACCAGTCCCAGAGCCAGCAAGTGGCATGGTGATTAAGGTGCTGGATTCCCACACTGGCTTTCTGCGGTTTGAGTCTGGATCTGGGGGCCTGAAAGTCATGCTGGGTGTGTGTGCATGTGTGTCCAAAATCCTGAGAGGAGAAGGAAGTGAAGGGATTGAGGTGTTGCCATCCTCTGTAGGGGGTGGTTTCTCACTTTCCCATCTGTCTCTCTCTGTTGAGCGCATGTGTCCTATGACAAAAACCATAAAACAAACAAAATCTCAAACCAGTGCCCAGGCTGAATGAAGTCAGAATGTTTGGATGGGACTCAGGCATCAGCACTTTTCTAGAACTCCCTCTGTGGTTCTGGTTTGTGGGCCAGGTTGAAAGCCACTGAGCTGAAGCGTCTCATGCGTTGCTCCGTGACCTTCACTATTACAGAAGAGCAGAGACACCTGGGGTGGGAACAGGTCGCCACTTTGCCCCACCACGTCTTCCACGAACATTCCGTTCACCAGGAGTTAGCCAAGAGGGTCCTTCTTCTCTGCATGTTCCACTTCTCAGCTGTTTCTTCTTGTGTTGGGGTGAAATGGAATTCTCAGAAAGTCTTTTTTTTTTTTTTTGAGAGAGGTTTTTCCTATAGGGTGTATGTGCTCGTCAGAGAGACAGAAAGTGAGAAATCATCCCCAGGGGGGATGGCCACGCTGCAATCCCTTCTCCTTCATTCTCCTCTCAGGATCTTGGGCACCTACACACAAGCACCCGGCATGAGTTTAAGCCACCAGGTCCGGGACTTGAATAGCTGTTGACAACATGGGAGTCCAGCAACATAGCCATTAGTCCATCTGCTGGTCCCCAGAAAGTCATTTTGACAAGGTCATTTGGTGGCTATTCTTTATAGACTCAAAGATCCATACCACATGTAAAACCAGATTTTTATTGCCAAGAAGTGGGCAGTGCAGACCTTCCTGAGCCTGAAGTACCCTGGCTTCCAGAGGGTCAGCCATTGGCATGGTGTGGAATGTAGTGAGTCCTCAGCATGGCTGAGAACGTCTGTTTTATTTGTTACCTGGTAATAAAAACGGCTGAAAGTTTGATGGTTTCTGTCTATATCAAAATGTCCTTGGGTCAAAACAAGAGTAAGGCAAGTGTGTTGGAATGTCCCCGGTAACAAAATGACTATGTCAAATCGCCAGAAACCCTCCTAGGGGTCAACTGGGGACCTGAACTAGAAAGAGGACTCTGTGAGTGGGTGTCTCTAATCCACGGCCTGTGCCGGAGTGTGGGCCAAGTTCGTTTTCGGGCCCTACGTGTACACACTTGAGTCTGCGCCCCAGCAAGGGAAACCACACTGGCGGTGTTGATGGGGAACGTTTAGAGACCTGGGTCTGTGCCAAGGACTGACAGAGTAACCGAAAGCAGCCAGCTGGGCTGACACAAGTTCCCAGATCAGATGAGACAGGAAGCACACGGGGCTTCCAGTCATCCCCACAGAGGAAAGCCCCACACCAGCATCTGGGCAGAGGTTGCTTTTAAGCCCCAACGGCCCCTTTTGAGTAATATTATGTAAACTTTCCTTTATTCTCCTGAAATGAAATTCAAAGAATTAGGAAAAAAAAAAAAAAAAAAAACCCCTTTACGGTACCCTTCACAGTAATGTAAAGAAAAATTAAAGAGAAAGTCATCTGTAATAAAATACACTTTGAAAATGTAAATACTCAGGTTTGCCTAACCTGGACAACCCAACAAGGGCCTTGGATGCTTGGGCAGACTTACAGAATCACCGTGAATGGAACTCAGAGGCAGACTGGATTTTTCCAGCGGCACATCACGTAGCATGATGGAGCTGCCGCTGGCATGTATTTCTTTTCTTTCTTTCTTTTTTTTTTTGGAGAGGTTTTTGCTATAGGGCGTGTGTGCTCGCCAGACAGACAAAGAGAGATAGAAAGCGAGAAATCACCCCCCAGGGGGGATGGCCACGCCGCAATCCCTTCTCCTCCATTCTCCTCTCGGGATCTTGGGCACGCACGCACACACGCCTGGCGTGAGTTTTAAGCCACCGGGTCCAGGATGCAAACCATAGTCGACTACATGGGAGTCCAGTGACATAGCCATTACGCTAACTGCTGGTTCTTTGCACTTATTTCTGAAATTATTAATAATTCTTCATTTTTTTTTTTTGGAGAGATTTTCGCTATAGGGGACGTGTGCTGGCCAGACAGGGAGAGACATAGAGACAGAAAGCGAGAAATCACCCCCCAGGGGGGATGGCCACGCCGCAATCCCTTCTCCTCCATTCTCCTCTCGGGATCTTGGGCACGCACGCACACACGCCTGGCGTGAGTTTTAAGCCACCGGGTCCGGGATGCGAACTGCGGTCGACTACGTGGGAGTCCAGCGACATAGCCATTACGCTAACTGCTGGTTCCCTGAAATTATGAATAATTCTTGAGAGAGTTCTAGAAAAAAAACTTGATAGTCATATTTCTGAAAACATCAGTATATATGAAACGGTTCCAAACTGTCTGGAGTTTTTACATAGAATGGAGTTTGTTTCAGAGTTTGGCTCATTACAAATACTAACATCCCACAGGATTGAGAGGACTCTCTGTTGCGTGCAATGGTCCTTCATATTCCAGCAGGTCTAATATCGTCAATCTCTAAATGCCAGGAACATTCCTCCAATCATCGTGACCTTGAAAAATGGTCCCCTCTTCAGAATGGTAGTTTCTGTCCCCACTGGGAATCCACTCATCTGGAGAGGAGTCTTTGTTTTCTAAAGTCCAGCAAAGGTCCTGGTGCTCAGATCTCCGTTCTCCTTCCTTTCTTTGTGAATTCATTTCCCAGGGATTTCTAGTAGCTTTTCAGCTCTCAGAGAGTTGGTCACTACTTACCCAATGTTGTCCTCTTCCCTCTCTCCCTGGTCTCACCTGCAGCTGCTGCAGGGGATATGGCTGTTTCTTCTCCATTGACTACAGATTTGTACTTGGCCTCCAGAAGACAGTAAGCCTTTCCTTGGAGATCTTGGCCCACTTCCCAAGGCTGGGTCAGACTTTCTGTGATGATAATCTTCCTCCAACTCACTCGTTACTGTTCTAATATTCTTATGCAATGGTGCAACCTTTTTGGCACCAGGGACCGGTTTCATGGAAGACACTTTTTCTGCAGACTGGGTTTGGGGAGAGGGAGTTGGGGGGTGATTTAAGGATGATCTAAGACATTACATTTTGTTTCTATCATTATTACATTGCAATATATAATGAAATAATTGTAAAACTCACCATCATGTGGAATCAATGATCTTGTTTTCGTGCAGCTAGCAGGTCCCATCTGAAGGCTCCTATGAGAAACTTAGGTCACCTCTGATCTGACAGGAGGTGGGGCTTGGGCAGTTATGTGAGTGATGGGGAGTGGCTGTAAATACAGATGGCTTTGCTTGCTCATCTGCCAGGCACCTCCTGTGTGCAGCCTGGTTCCTAACAGGTCACAGACTAGTACCAGTCCATCTGGGGGTTGAAGACTCTTGTTTTTATATCTAGCAGTTTTAGAAGTGTTCTTCTAATTTCTCCAAAATGAACTAAATAGTGGACATCAACTTTCGACGTAGTCTACCAGGAATAAAGACATTTTCTGGGACCAGCTTTTGGCGTAATGGCTATGTCGCTGGACTCCCATGTAGTTGACTGCAGTTTGAGTCCTGGACCCGGAGGCTTAAACTCACACCGGGCACGTGTGCATACGTGCCTAAGATCCCCAGAGGAGAATGGAGGAGATGGGATTGCAGCATGGTTATCTCCCTAGGGGGTGATTTCTTCCTTTCTGTCTTTTTGTCTCCGTCTTTCTGGCAAGTGCACATGCCCTATAGCACAAACCTCGCTCTCAAAAAAAGACTACATTTTCCAGCCTTCCTTTTAGGTAGGTACGGCTGTTACTAAATTCTGGCTTGGGAGGTAAGCAGAGGTGATGGCTAGGACTTCCAGGAAGGGGCTGTGCCCTGTCCTGCCCTTTCTCTCCCCTGCTGGCAGAGCAGGGATATGGATGCACGGGCAGACCTTGGCGACAGGAGACACACATAGCAGAGCCACAGGGTAGAAGCAGCTCGGTCCCTGGCTCCATGGTCCCCAAGAACTGACCAAGCCCTGCCTTTGTGGAAATGTAAGAGAGTTATCAACTTGTCTGAGCTGCAGGCATCCAGATTTGTTTGTCTTCAGTTACTCATGGTTGAGTATAACGTTTACTAATACAGGGTCTCAATTTAAGATTAACCAACATTCACCGTAGGATTTAGCCCTGTTAGAATTGCCAGGGACTCTGAAGTTCCTTGCACACAGTAAATCTTAAAGGAAGAAAGAAAAATATCCTAGTAAGGGTGAGTGTATGTGACCTCGGTCTCCTGGCCACACTTCTAAGCAGACCCTGCCTTACCCACTCCTTCCACACCTTAGCACTGAATCAGAACCCAGTTAGGTCTAAAGCAAACAAGGCAGAAGGCCAGGGAAGGGGTGACAGATCCTTCTGGCACGGGCCCAGCATCCTGTGCTAGCAGGCAAGGTGTCCTCCACAGGTCTAACCAGGGCCTCTGTGCCCTTGACACTCAGTCTAATCGCCTCAGGACAGCCGCTGCTGTGTCACTAAGGGGCGTGGAGCCGACAGCAGCACCAGAATCAACAGGAACAGGAACGCAGGGGGCAGGCCGACCCCAGGAGCCTAGAGGCTCCTCTGAGCACGTGGAGGCAGCAGCGGGGATCTGAGCAGTAATCAGAGGGAGGCAGTTTCAGGCTCTGCAAAATACGGAAATACCGGGCTATTGCAACCCGAGCAAAGGACACGCTAGAGCCCAGCCACAGGGAGGTGGCCTGGGCAATGCGGACCGTCTGAGAAACCTCACAGAGGCCCTGGTGCAAGCGCGATCTGCCCAACCACATCTGGGTGCCACCCGCGGAGGGCGCACAGTGCCTAGCTCTGTTCCAGCAGCTGCCCTGCATGGGACGGCTGAGTGCCCCCGCCCCTCTCGCCCACAGTAAATAGTTCCCAGCCCGCTCTCGGGGCTGAAGGACGCAGCTGTTTATCAAAGGCTCTGGAGGTTCAGAACATCCTTTTCCCTTCCCCTCTGCGTGTGTTACATACCTCCTGCGAATAGCGGGGCCCCCTGTGCTCTGGAGAGGAGGGTTTAACGACTCACGGGGACACACGCTTGGCGACTTCCTTTGTTTCTTTTCATGCAGGAACAAAACACCCATGGAAATGGCCCAGTGGTTTGTGAATAGAGGCCCTATAAAATCGCCAGGTCTGATGTTCCCTTCTGGGACTTACAGGAATCCTGAAGCTGGATACGAGAAGAGCAAAGCTAGGTGCTACTTTACGGGATGTTCATTCTATGCACCGAGGCTTATGCCTGAGTCAGAACATGGGTTCGTAGCCATGTCTATGTCAGCTACGCTTGCTATTGAAAGTATTTAGATTAAGATCTTTGTGAATCAATAAAATGTGGGGAAATAAAAGCAGGTATGGAAAACAACTGTAAATACCACCAGAGACAGTGTGAGAGGAGGGTGGGAAATGGCAGAGGGGGAGAGGGAGGGAATCAAGGGGGGGGGGGGGACAAAATATATAAGAAACAAGAAATAGAAAATTATTAGATGATGATAACAGGAGTGATAAATCCTTTTTTTTTTTTTTTTTTTAGAGCACATGTGCTTGCCAGAAAGAGACACAGAAAGCCAGAAATCACCCCCTAGGGGGATGACCACGCCGCAATCCCTTCTCCTCCATTCTCCTCTCAGGATCTTGGGCACACATGCAAATGTGCCCCGTGTGAGTTTAAGCCACTGGATCTAGGACTCTAATGGTGGTCAACTACATGGGAGCCCAGCGACACAGCCATTATGCCAACTGCTGGTCCATGGTAAATCCTCTTAAAGAAAGACAGAAAAATATACTAGTAAGGGGAGGATGCATGTGACCTGGGTCTCCTGGTACTATCCTTGATTGAGCCAATGTACAGTGTGTTCTGGATGAAAAAAATCTTATTTTGTATCCTGTAATGATGTACAGTGAATGAATGTAAATAAATAAACTTAAAAGAAAAAGAAGAAGCCTGAAGAAAGGAGTTGCTGTGGTGGCACTTTTGTGACTTAGTGCCGTGGATGGTGGGACTGAGGAATGCCCTCTGGAAAAGAGATGAGAGTCAGGAGATTCTTTGACTATTTCAGGAAACCACCGCTGGGACCCAGTGTCTGTTTGGTTGGGCATTTTCATCAAGATGTTCATTAACCTGAGCTTGGGCTGATGGAGAGACTCGTGGACCCCCCTGCAGGAATATTCAGCTGGGGTTTCAGGTCACAGACATCTATTTTTATGGCTAAAAAAAAGGATCCGTTCTTACATGGCTGGGACTTTCCTTCTCGGCCCTTCCCTCCCACCCCCACGCCCCAGTCATACAGAGATCACCCAGGAGCATCTGTGAGAACTGCTCTGGTCTTCCCTCTGAACTGTCTTTTTGGGGCTAAAACATCCAGGAGCTGCTTTCAGGTTGCCTGGGATACCAAATGGCTTAATAACCCTGATGAGGCCGAGAGAGTATAAAACGATGATCAAAAGGAACATCCGCCCTCGAGATGTCCTCTGAGCCTGGCAGAAGATTTCACGTGTGAGCAAACGAGTCATTTTGCATTGCCAGCCCCTCTTTACAAACTGGGGTGTGCTGGGGTGTGAGAGAAATCAGGCCAGGCCAGAGAACCAGATGATGGGCCAGTCAGGATGCAAATGTAGGAAAGAGAAGGGAGGCCCTGCCTGTACTGGCTTCATAAATCTTAGTATCTCTCAAACTGGGGCATGTTCAGGTGTAAGGAGTGCGTGCGCAAGCCCGAGTTCTCCTCACTTCACTCATGATCTTTTAATTTTTAGAAGTTTATTATTTTGGGGCCAGCAGGTGGCTTGGTGGTTAAGGGTACTGAACTCCCACATGGCTGACCATGGTTTGAGTCCTGGACCTGGCAGCTTGCTCTCTCTCTCTCTCTCATACACACATGTTGTCCCTCTCTGGTCAAATTAAAATAAAGAAATAAAATGAAATAAAATGATTCTTTTTAAAAAAGTTTATTATTTCTTCTTTGAGTGGAAGAGACAGACACAGAAATGCAGAGCCTCCTGACAGGGTCTTGACACTGCGATCCAGCCCCAGCTTCAGCCAGCCCTGGGCCACAGGCATTTGTGTGCTCCAGGTATACCCAGGGAGGTTCCCCAACATGGCCCAGCCACCTTCCCATGTGGGTGAGCCTCACAGGGTGCCGTGTTTTACTGCTGTGCTCCCATCTGGCCCCTCTTCTATTTGTCTACACTCCTGCCTTTACGTAGACCAAAGGGGAAACATCACCTCCCTTCTAGAAACAGCAAGTTGTTTCACCTTGGGCAAATCACCTTCTCTCTCTGGTTCTCAGAGTTTGTTATTGTTGTTATTTGTTTGTTTCAGGTGAAAAATGAGGGGAGTTGAGTGTTCTGTGGGTTACCTTTCAGTTCTCAGTGTTTATGAATCTAAGATCTTTTTCAGATTGATATCTTGGAAGAATCAAATATCTAGTAAGTCTGACAAATAATAGGCACTGGAAATAACCAGCGACTGAGACATCGCCCTCGCTTCAGAGTCAGGTGGGAGAAACAGACATGGAAGTAAATTCTTAGTCGACCATGAGCGAGGACCTACGGGAGTGATATACGTGTTGCTATGGGAGCCCTGCAAGGTGGGTGTCTTGCTGAGCTTGGAGAGGTCAGGGCAAGATAAATGTGCTGGGACTGGGAGGTGGTCAGGCATGCCCCAGGTGGCCGGGAGCATTCTAGATGGGGCAGCATGTACTGCCAGAGATGGGCATAACAGGAAGTATTTGAAATTCTGAAAATAATTCATTCTGAAGGAGGAATGAGGAAACTCCAGAACTTGAGGCTAAGTATAGAGGGACCTTGTGCTCCACAGCAAAGTGACACAATCGGATTTGTATTCTAAGACCATCATGTGGGCAGCATGGAGGCTATTTTGAAGGAAGTGAGTCTGAAAACTCAAGACCAGAAAGCAAACAATTACAGTCATCCATATGGAAACAGACCAGAGCCTGCATGAACACGGTGGTACAGAAAAGAGAGATGGGTGTGGATGTGGCCAGGTGAGAGAAGGTGGGGGGCTGGTGGGGTCTAGGGAATAGTGAGGTGGAAAAGTCAGGGTGATTTCTAGGTTTTAGGTGACTGACTGGATAGAGTAGCTGTGAACTTGGGAAAGAAGTAGAAGAGCAGGCCTAGGGTATGGATGTGGCCATGTGTCCAATTCATTTGGAGTTTGCCAGATTGAAGTGACTGGAGGGAGTGC